TTAAAAATCTACAATATCATTGAATATATAATAGTTTATACTTTTTTATAATAAAAATAATTTATAATATATTTTAATAGATAATATGTTTTATATATCAATATATATTATATTTAGCATTAAAAAAAACAATTACATACTTTATCTTTAAGGACACAAAACTCAAACGGACTTCACCAGACTGATATAACCAAGGAAATATTTAAAAGCTATAATGCTTCTTCTGTAGAAATACTATGATAAATCATAGAGTATTTATAATAAATACTATAAATATTATAATAGAGATTCATACATTTAAAAAAGGTCACATCAGTGTTTTGTGAACACTATTTCAGGCACTAGAAAATTAAATGAAACAATGTCAAAACATCAGACTTGCACTATATAATTGCCTAACCTTGTAAATATATCAATAAAACAAACCTAACCTTGTTAATACATAAATAAAACAACACTGGCACGAAAAAGAAAATCATCACAATCAAACAAACAGGATTGTGGGGTATCATAAGCAGTGAGGTAGATATACATCTACTGCATACTACCTTTAAACATTTACCAGACAAAGGCATCCTAACTGACTGTATTACAAGACCAATTTATTCAGACATTTTAGGCATCAAGAGCACAGCTCTCATTTGAGAACAACAGAAACAGCATCAGACAACCCAACACCATGAGTACAACAGAGAATGATTTGATTGGTTCAAAGAAACAGACAGACCGAGACAAAGAGATGAAGGAATCGCGAAAAAAGAAAAAAACGAGAGCTGGCGAGTGGGGAATTCTGTTTGGTCTGGTAGGCTTTGGGTGCAAAACAAAGCATGTCATCCAGTATCCGGCCCTCCCTCATTACTGGAACAGACAAACCGTCCAGCGGTCCATTTTCTGCTCTCTTTCACCTTCTCTGTTCCAGTAAAAGCTGAAAGCACCACTCCCTCTCAGGACTCACTGGACTAGACAAAATCCAAACCTTCACCACACTGTATCCTTCTACTGCCTCAAAATCCAAAGAGATAATAAAACAGAACTATAAACCAGTAACAACTGTTATTCCTGATAACAGTGTCATCTATACTGACTTCATCTTTATCAGAAATCAAATCAATGTCAAGCCTGATTCAGTGCTTTCACAACAAACACAGAAGTGAAGACATCTGTGCTTCACATTCCTATATGTGTACCTCACTCGATTAGCCCAAAATAAGGCTACAGGCTAGCATGACTCAGCCAGACGGTCTCAAACGCCCTCCACAGTGGACAGACTACAGACAGTATGAGGAGGAGGAGCTACTTTAGCATCCCCAACACTGCTACTTTTAACATTAGCTTCCCAAGCTACTCATAAGCTAACAAGACAAAGCAGCTCACTATATTGAAGCTGTTAGGGGCATATATCTTTAAATGCATAATTAACAAAGGGTATACTGTGTTTTTACAATTGGAGCTATATTTATCTGGCACAAAAGCAATACAAATTTTAATTAGGGTGACAGTATTACATGTAAATATACAATTTACATCAAGTACAACTAACAAAAAAATAAAATAAATAAATAAATACACCTCATTATCATAATTATCATAAATACACATATATATACATACAGTAGGCTATATACACTACCATTCAAACGTTACAAGGCCAGTAAGATTTTTTTATGCATATATCAGACGAAAAACAGTAAAAACATTAACATTGTGGCATATTGTTACAATCTGTGACATGAAACACTGAATCAAACATTTGCTTTGAAACAATCTGTATTGTGAATAATGCTATAATGTTTTAGAAGGTTCAAAAGAACAGAATTTAAAAATGGCTTTACGGTCACTTTTGATCAATTTAATGTGTTGTTGCAAGTTAAAAGTGTTAATTTCAACAAAAAAAATGAAAATAAAATAAAAATAAAAAATACATAAAATAAATGAATAAATAAGTAAAAAGTTACTGAGTCCGCCCGGTATAAAGAAAGAAAGAAAAATAAAATGCAGTAGGTAAAACATGAATGTTTCTTTATTCTAATTAATTCTTAGTTAAAGGGGTCATATGATGCGATTTCAAGTTTTCCTTTCTCTTTGGAGTGTTACAAGCTGATTGTGCATAGATAAGATCCCTGAAGTTGCAAAGCCGACAGAAAATGGTCAAAGCAAAAATATGACTGCTATCGGTGCATGAAATTAGTCCAACTTCACAAAAAAAGTCACCTAAACTATCGCATTTACATGATTTTAAAAAACATATATATATATATTTTTTAATTCAGGCTGAAAACAAACTTTCAAAGTGTAT